TGTGTGTGTGTGTGTGTGTGTGTGTGTGTGTGTGTGTGTGTGTGTGTATGCGTGTGTGTATGTACATAAACAAATATTTTGTTATAATTATTAATGCAAAGATCGAACACTAAGAAAAAATTTCTTACATTCGGCCGGATTCGAACTAAGCCACGGAACGAACCAGCGGACCTCACGAATTTTTCTATTTGGTTGTTGGATTTGGTTTTCAGCCAACTGCAAAATGTTCTTCACAAAATAAAAAATAAAGAAAATGCTTTGTATCAAATCATGAGGCCCATGAGTGGCACTCCAGTATTTCCACCGGGTGGCATACTTGGATAAAGCTCATAGAATCATCATTCTTGGTCATCGAGTATATAACCAGGAATATAGACGAAATAAGGGCCACCCATCCCTGGCAACTCATCAGTGAAATGGTACTGATATAACTTTTAAATATCAACTATCGTTTGCGCTGAAATCACAAATTAGAAAACTAAAATAGTACAGCGCCAACAACTGACCTGTGTGTACGTCTCCGTACATTCCAAAAACATTCTGTATTTATTGTAATAAAGATAATATTTATAACAAGGAAGGCTGTTCCATTCTACTGTGTGGCAAAAACAGCAAAACATCTAATTACAAAACAAACGGAATTACATTTCAACGGTAATTTAATATTAAATATGTAATTTTGCAATTTTCGTCCATTATAGCAAAGCTTAAGTTAAACTGGTAGATTTGAAGTGAAACAATTGACGACACCATCAATTGTTTCGGGTTCGGGCTGGCCAATCGGAGCGCAGTTGTCACCTTAATGATTTGGCAGAATAAATGACATTTCGTCTCTAATTCTGGTTATATACTCGATGTTCTGACGGTGAGCTGACATTGATGATGAGGGCGATTACGTCAATAAATGTCGTTTGACATTTGGAGACTCCAAGCGTTGTATAGATGATATAAAGGTACTGGTAAATGTGAAAATAACTGTTTCTTAGATCAATGATTGCCACTGTAATTTTATATGCAATGAAGAATATTACATTAATTCATAAGTGTGTTTGGTTCTCAGATAGTAATCTACAATCCTTTGTCGTGGTCGGTCACGATGCCAGTCCGGCTACCTGTCCAGAAGTCAGGAGTATACTCTGTTTACGATGCCCACGGTAAGTACCTTTATCACGGAAGAAAAAATACAATACAACCTCAAATGGCTTAGGTTGATCCCGCATAACAGTGAAAGTGTTGAAGCGATTACTTTGGAAAAAATATTTATAGTAAAATTGAGAATATACACTGATTATTACGTACTTTACATAACATATGAATGATTTTTTTTTATATCAACTGAACTACATAGAACACGTACATTATACGCATCGAGTATATAACTAGAATTAGAGACGAAATGTCATTTAATTTGTTTGAAAACTATTCTGCCAAACCATTGCTATGATAACTGCGCTCCGATGGCCAGCCTGAGTTCGAAACAATTGTCGGGTGTCGTCAATTGTTTCACATCAAATCGACCAGTTAACTTGGGCTTTGCTATAATGGACGAAAATGTTTTTCCCAAACCACCGAATAGAACAGCACGGCATTGTTAGAGATATTATCTTTATTACAATAAATACAGAATGTTTTTGGAATATACGGAGACGTACACACAGGTCAGTTGTTGGCGCTGTACTATTTCAGCTTTCTAATTTGTGATTTCAGTGCAAACGAGAGTTGATATGTATAAGTGATGTATCACTGATGAATTACCAGGAATGTATGACCCTTACTTCGTCTCTATTTCTTGTTATATACTCGATGATACAACCTAAAATGGCTTTTCGCGTTACAGTGAAAGTGTCCAATCAATCAATTTGGAAAAAATACCTATACTGTAAAATTAAGAACATACACCGATTAATACGTACTTTAAATAATATAT